CCCCTTTCCCCGTTGAGAGCAAACGGTCCGTATTCCCGTGCATCCACAAATTTCGAAATTAGTTTGTGAATTAGTAAGTCAGGTCAAACGTAGCGACAGAGTCTGTCCAACGAACAGCCGAGTTCCGCCGAAAAGCAGGCTGGCACGCGCCGGCTGCAAACGCCATGTATGACTCACAGAGCGGTTAATTGAGAGTGTGAAAAAACTGGATCTATAGAAAAAATTATTTCTACAAATACTAGTATGTAGTCTAGGGAAAGTTATGTATTACTAGAGGATTTGGCAATGCTTCGCTATTTCAATATATTACACTTTACATGCTACTAGTCACGTGCTTGTTAGTAACGTTTTACGTTGCGCTCTGCAAAAATTTCAACAGACGAAAGACTTTCTCGCGAGTGTAGTTCTGTCTCTCTATCCGTGACTTTTCGTCTTTCTCTCTCCTTCTCTTCCTATCTTTGTTTCTGTGTACCTCTCAGTCTCTCTTCTCTCTCTCTCTCTCTCTCTCTCTCTCTCTCTCTCTCTCTCTCTCTCTCTCTCTTTCTTTCTTTCTTTCTTTCTTTCTTTCTTTCTTTCTTTCTTTCTTTCTTTCTTTCTTTCTTTCTTTCTTTCTTTGAGTCTCTGTTTCTGTTTCTTTCTCTCTCTGCACTGCAAGCTCTCTGAAGTGCAAGCAATAAGTTGACAAAGTTTTATCGCTTCTCGTTCTATCGGTTCTCTCCCGGCGTGTCTGACTTCCTTTGTATCTCCTTGTATCTCTCTCGGGAGAAATTTCACAATCGCAGTGGCAGAATATGCAATGAAAACGTCTTAATAATTATACTTCAGTGAGAAACGGGTTGTGTCAAGTGCCGTTACGTAGAGTGCATTATTCAGGGCGCTTTATTCTGCATAAAATCATCATGAACGCGCATCTATGTGCGCAGGCATTCTCTTCGTACTATGCCTATATTCTTCCTGGAAGTACAAGAAATAAGTTGACAAACTTTCATTATAATCGGATGAACTGTATGGCAGCGCATTAAGTATGAAACAATAAACAAAAAGAGTCTTTTATACATGATATTTCAGTAGTACATAAGTGCCGATTTTTTACATAAAACAGGACTTCTGAGACCGAAACATTTAATTTTTCTTACTTCTATACGTGGTATAATGAAAATTTAGGTTTTGGGAGCAAAACCTGTTTTCTCAGCATATATGTCTATCCATTTGAGATGACGTCTATGATCAATACCAGCACCTAAACTGCCCATAGAATTTACAAAAATCTAGAAATTCTCTCATGAATCTGACTGATGTTGCGGACCCTCCTATTTCAAATAGATGTAGATATAGATTTTTAATATTTCTGCAGGTATCCTGCTATCAGAACACTGCAGTTTACATATTTCAATTAGGAAAATTAATACAATGAATCTTTAAATTAATTTAAGACAACTACTACTACAACTACAAATACAACTACAACTACAACTACAACAATAATAATATAACTGTTTTAATAAGCCTAACTTACTAATTAACACTCTTTACAAATATCATTAGTTTGATTATTTTTAAATTTACGCCTAGAGGAAAGGGTTCCAAGACTGATAGGCAACTTATTCCAGACTGTTATTGTTCTATTCGTGAAGGAAAATTTTCCAACATCTCTTGTCTGTAGCATAAACTGAATTTTGTTCTTGTGATCCCCCCTACGTAAGTACGTGGATCTACTGAGAAAGATGTAGATATGTTTACAAGCTGGATAACTGGCATACGCTTTGTACAGGGCACAGAGTATTGCCTTAACCCTCCTGATTCCTAGAGTCTCTGTATCCTATTCAAATATTTCTTTTGTGATTTTCTATAATTGTCCCAACAAACCGCCCCGTATTCCATTAATGGACGAACTAGTAAGCTAATTCTCTCGCTTTCGCAGTACTCTTTTTTAGTATCCGCATAGTAAAATGCAAAGATCTCCAGGATTTCACTGCGGTAACGTGTACTTGATTTTCTTAACAACATTTGCTATCAAAAATGCAAATTCTGACATATCACGTGGGCATCCGAAATCGAAATTCGATAGTTTAATTTAGTGGTTACTTGACATAATGCTTGTAATACATTTTCATTGTGTTAAAAAAATGGCTCAAAATTTGATCACTAATTTTTCCTTTTTTGTTTTTTCCTTTCCTTAGATAACTTTCGACCCAAACAATTCTGGTAAAAATTTCGGGCATTTGACACATTACCTACTCCCCCATCAATTTATTTCATCTTGTATGTTCCTCACACGATAATTATTTCAAAAAATTATTATCCATAAAGAATATAAAAGATCCCTTTACTAATCATTCTCTCGTTTTATTCTCTCGTTTTATTAAAATGTTAAAAATTATTCACCAATACAAAAAGTTTAACAAAAAGTTAAAATGTTCACATTTGGAATATCAAGCGGAAAAACAAAAAATTGTACAGTGATACTAACACTCAATGTAGAATAATTTAAATAGAGTTCTCATGTTTCCATTATATTGCGTTCAGAATCTCAGCACATTTAACAGAAGAGCGCTCATGCAAAACGTAACTTCCTGGCGAGCACATGAATAGTGAATTTTTGAACGATGACTAGCCACTGACTCGGTGCACATGTCATTCTCGCAGGAGGTCATGAACCTGCAACGAGGAGAGACCGCTCATCTACGTGTCCGCCGGTACTTCCCGTTAAGTCCCCAGACACAGGAAGTGAAATCCCAGGAAGAGACCTGGCCGCAACCACAGACCGCTGCGCTCTGACGTCATGGAAGGCATACCGGCGTTCACGGCATCTCCCTTGAGGGATTCCCGGTTCATTACCTGCCCCACAGCAGTGATGTGCCATCGATAACAAAACATCGATGTTTCCAATCGACTTTTCATTATAACGCATCGACCAAAAACAATCGATGTTTTGAAAGTGATTTAGTAATCTCTAACGTTAAATTTGCACGCAAAAAAATAATTTAAGTATCCGTGTATATAAGTTTATAATTAAGATATAACTGAAAATAAGGCCAAATGATAGCCCTGGATAAAACTAAGTCTGGTCGTCCAAGATCACCTAAAGGGTCAGTGCTCAGTTTGCCGAAGAAGAATACGGGAAAAACAGTGGGTAGTTCCCATGCCCATGGAGCATGCGTTAGGCGTTAAGTAAATTGCGTTTTTCCATGATCAAATTACACAGCAAGACGAAGGAAATACAAGGGCATCAGTGCCAAGTCGGGTGCAGGTAGTCTGTACTTTGAAGACAGGGCAGTGTTTCGTCGATTTGATTGCATAAACTGCCAGTGGTAGCATTATTGTTTCATATTTTAACTTATTTTGAGAATTTGTGTTCACAAAGACGACATTGAAAACGTAAAAACATCGAGCACAATATATCTACATTCGAAAAACATAGGCTTTAATAGTATCAATGTTCAAAACATCGATGATTGATTAAAACATCATTATTTTGAAAATATCGATATCATGTCACATCGCTACTTCACAATGCGCAATTGGAACGTTGCGCCTTGCGCAATTGGAAAGTAGGGAAGGGAAAAACTGCTATTTCACGAGTAGAAAAGGAAAATACTACACCAAAAAATGTAAAACCTTATTTTGAATACTATTCCATAAAAATCCTACATTTTTCGGAACAGTATTCTCAAGAATAAGTATTAATGTCAATTCATGAAATGTTAGTCTGATACCAATTATTTTCTAAGACCCAGTTTTTCAATGTCACGTTTTTTAAAATTATTTTTAGACCCCTGTTTATCACTTTTTAAACAACAATGAAATCTTCAATATGGACGTTTTCCATAGTTCTGATCGGTATGCCTAAAAAGTTCCGATGGGTGACTCATTGTATTGTATTCTAAATTTAATTTTATATTGAAATTGTTCTGAATACAATATTTACTGATTATTTCCAGAATGAAATAGATTGAATATTGTTGTTAATAAAAATATATTTCCCTACCTTATTTCATTATTACATTTCGGGTCTTTCTATTTATCTCCCTGGGCTTCGACACCCCAAGCGAAATTGTTGTGTTCTATTGTCAAACTCCAGTCCTAATCATTTCTCCGTTGCTTTTCCCCATTTCACTATACGAGACCTTCCATCAGCCTGACTGCTTTAGGTAGGTTCATCTCGGCCAGTTTTCGGTTTCTACTAACCCTGCATGGCTATTTCAACCACACATACAATATATACCGTCAAAGGAATTTTATCTCCGTAGTTGCGTAAAATGTGTTATGCTACAAATAATACTTTTTAGGAAAATGAGTTTTAAACATTTACTATTAAACTAATTTTCGTTCTTTAAATCTACATCATGAAAATGCCCACGTGTATATTCATTGGACAGCTCTCCAGTTCAGTGTGTTTCCATACAAAATTGAACATAAGATTTCCTTTAATATTACTTGTATTATTATGACCATAAATTTAACAATTATTGTGGTCAATGACATAATACTGGTCTTTCACTACAGTCAAGTTACAATTTGCTTACAGAGCAAGTGGTGAGGGAATGATCTCATGCCCAATTTTTAAGTTTTTTTTCTTTTTTTTTTTTTTTGGCTGGAGCAACATTGCATTTACTCGTAACGGTTTTGTTGGAATTGATTAATTCTTTTAGAGAATCACAAACATTGTCACATAACATGTAAGGATCAAACTAGTCGCCAGTGATATTGATCCCAAAAGATCCCTTTTCTCAATTGCGTGTTATTCAATATACGTAAACTTTTTTTATCACAAAGAAAATTGCGCCCGATTAGCACTGGTGTAAGCATAAATATCACGAAACTCATTGGTTTCTACATCATCGAAGAACACAAGTTTATCTTACAACGCAGCAGTATTTGGGACGTAGAAATTTGCTTCGTCGACAGGGAATACCCGAAGGCCGGGAAATATCCCCCCCCCCCCACTTCCAACAGCACGCGACTGTAAGTACTTCGTGGAGCAGCTCTTGGTCGAGTCAGTTGGCAGAGACTGCGGAGAACGCAGCGTTCGCTATGAGGTGCCTCACGTGTGTGGTGCTGTCCTGTGTGTTTGCGTTGTGTCATGGAGCCGTTTTGAATCGACCTGATGGAGGTATGTCAGAACTACACTATGCTTCATTGATCAATGCAGCTCTTGTTTTATATAGCGTTTAAGATCTATTTGTTATGGCGTTGTTAGAAACATTCTCTTCTCTTAAATTGGCCAGTTATTCACATGTGTGTTGTAGTTAACGAAGCCCCATTATTTTTAACTGGACAATATGGTACTTTTTTAACTGATGCAGCATCATAGACAGACAGATAGTTTATCGACAATCGATTTTTCGGCAAGAACGACGCACAAAATAAGGATTATGACTACATCACAAATACGAGGAAGTAATTTACTACAATTATATAAAATCAAAATTAATTCACCCCGTTATCAGGGTCCTGCAATAAGATTTTTTCTGTCAAAAAAATCCAATTTTCTGATTCACGATTACAATACTACTTTTTCTAATGAAATTGTTTCGTAAAAATTAGTTATTATAAGAATGTTCCATGCTTTATACTTTTTATTGCGAGATGAATACGAATAATTCTCTTTACATTCCACTATAATATATATGTCCAGATACAGGTAAATACAAAACATTTGAAACATATTTTCAGAAAAATAGTTTGATCTAAACAGTATATTTCAATTTTTAAACTGATAATATTGGTTTTCATTTTTTTCACTATGATCCACATTCTTTAAAAATGTGAAAAACTATGCTATAGAATGCCATGAGAAACATTCTAGAAAAAAGTGAGATCTACGACAGCACGTCGACAGTTATTACGTACGACAGTTATCACGTCAAAATAAATTTCAAAATTTTATTTATTTATTCTATTTAAATTTCGCGCCAAATTGGATGACATATGTACCTTCAAATTCAACTAGTCTTCCCATTCTCTGCAATTTTTCAGCCTGATGCATGCAATAAAGCCGAGAAAAAAATATGACGCGAAAAACACATTTTTTATTGTATATCTGCAACAGATTGCCCTAGGAGGCTGATTTTTTTGGGAATCTACGGGATTTTTATTCTCTTGCATATGAATGTCTAGATTATTAATTTGGGTTGGGGGCACTGTTCACCCCCTTGTTCGGTTATGTTCTTTACATCACGATTAAATCCCTTTGTTTGCAGACGCGGTGTGTCCCGGCGGGGCTCGCTGCGTGCCGCTCAGCCAGTGCACCGGGGCTGCGCACAGTGCATCCGCAGACGGGCTGCGCAGGCGCCTCTGCGACTCGGCTGCGCGGAAGCTGCGCGTGTGCTGCGGGGAGAACGCCGCCCTCACCGACCTCTCCCCGCCCTTCCAGCGCTCGCGGCGGTCGGTGTCCTCCACCCCTGCGTCCCCGCCTCGGCCGCCGACTCCGGCCACGTCCACACGCGCGACAACGCCCGCTACCAGCCCCGTGGAGACGTCTGCGACACGCTCGCCCAAAGCCACTCCAAGGCCAACTGCAACTCCTGCACCAAAGCCTCCTACACCAGCGTCCAATGTGACTTCAACAACTCAGACCCCGGCCCTGACTACGCCCTCTGGAAATGGCAAGCTGCCGAAAATATCTCCAAGCGCGCGAGGTAAGAAAAATAAATCTGCTACCACGAACTTACTAAGCACTGTAAAATAAAAATGCCTGTTAATAATAAAATAAAACTATACAGTAAACATTTTTATAGCTAATCTTACAAGAAACGTGCTTTTTTCATCTGAAATTACTCATTCTCTATTAGATCCATGTAATCTAAATAACTTAAACTACTTGCCTAGTGCCTCAACTTGATCAAACGAGACATTAATGTACGCCCACCTGGTCTACGAAACACATACAGCAAGATCACACCAGTGCACTGATGTGATTTGACTAGAAAACTGCAGTGATCTTATTATAAAAAGCGCTTGTGTTTTAAAGTTTTAATTACTGTTTCTGTCTGAATACTGAGACAAATACATTGATCTGATTCTACCAACGATTTCAAAACTATGTAAGATGCATTAAAAGGAACTACATTATATGCATTCTGTTTCAGCTTGTGACGAATTCCGTAAATTCAATGAACGAGTGGTTGGAACTTCCCTTTTAAGAAGAAAGAGACGACAATATATGCAGATAAATGTAGTCGGAGGAGAAAGAGCTAGAAATAGAGAGTTTACTTATATGGTAATGTTGCTTTTTACTAATATTCAATCTGACATATAACTAATGATAAGTGAATAAATTTGATGATAACCTCGGAAAATTATATTTTAGAGAAATGCAAAATATTTTGACTTTTCTTTAATATGAACTTGTATTCTAGCGTGTGTATACAGACAACCCAACTTAATGTTTACCAGTGATCTCGAGTTACAGCATGAATATTCAGACAATTCGATTAATCTTTCTCTAAGAGTTTACCAATTATGTATGTAACATGATGAAAATTCAATTCATCGCTAGGCTATAAATATCCTTTTGCTTTCGAGTGATATTTCTTTTCGCAATGAAAAAAATCAATGTTCCCTAAAGTATATTTACAAATGAAAATGGTGGGTACAAATTATCAGCGCGATTAAACATATTAGCCTATGTTACCGAGAACTTGAACTGTATTAGAGTAGTGTCCGCATTCTTACATTTTCATAGAAATATAGACTCTTTAGGAGCTTATTTACAATAAGATAGTTCATTGTGGATCAGAATAGAAAACCTGTTAACGCACAAATAATATTTTTAATAAAATGTACCGTCGAATTCAGACAACTGTTTGATACGCAGCGAAAGTTTATTCGACATAAAAAATTTCAACAATATTCTGATTTCTTTAAATATATATGTTTGAAAAATGTTCAATTGTAGTCCATCTTCCGAATACTTTAATATATTTTAAAAAATAGTATTAACCGTAGTTTATTCAGTAAGTTTATAATCTTCAGCTTTGTTGCATTATTACACGTTTTGAAAATGAGCGACTTTACGAGCAAGTTTTAAATTTTTACGAATACAATACATCAACATTATAACCATGTTCCATGCACAATTTTTTGTGTTTGACAGCATTATAAATTTTAATAGAATCAAACTTAATTCTCTGAAAAAGCTTTCTTGTTACGATTGGTGTTTTTGACACTTACGCGAGTAACCGGTTGTTGGCTGTTCCGTTTACCAATACCACTCCACGATTCTGGCCTTGCGATTGGCTGAATATGTGACAACGTAATCATTCGTGTTGTAAAGCTAGTACGTAATCATTTGCGCCGTAAAATGCAATTTGGTGAACGATTTCTTGCAACAGAAAAGGTCACTTATAATGCTGGTATACAAAAAATATCTTTAATACTAGTCTGGTAGTCTGAAACCCTAACCTTTCAAAAACTATACAATAATCCAGATATCGAGTACCTTACAAACGTACCTAACAACGACCTCGCTATCTTGAATTGTGGACATCCGCAGGTGGCGATCGGGTACGTGCGGGGCAACAACAGCGCCAACACGTCGGAGATCCAGTGGGGCTGCGGGGGCAGCCTCGTCAGCGAGCGCTACGTCCTCACCGCCGCCCACTGCATCACCGACGCGCTGCGGTGAGTTGCGAAACAAACGAGATCGTTCTCCTCGAAACAAGGTTACTTCCCAGGATATATTAAGAGATAATAGATCTTTATGAAATAATTAGGAAAAATTCTGGGACTTTTAGAGGAAGTATAATTAGTGAATGTTAAAATACAGGTTGGTTGCAAGCGTATCGATGCCTCGATCGGCAATTATCTGAGTGCATGCTTTATGTGTGCACTGCTGGATTTTGTGTGTGTTGAAGCGTGAATAGAGGCGCATCTATGGCGTTGTTTCGTTTCAGACGTTGATTAATTATTGAAAGAAATGTAGGGGATGATGAACGGGAAGAACGGACGGGCTGTGCCATAAAATGCCATTTTATGAACTAATTCTCGGAACGAAAAAGTCGTTTGTAATGCTTATACACAAACAATAGTTATTTATGCAGCTAGGGAGTTGTAAGCGTTCGAATAATTGAGCGGCGACAAATAGTCCGAGGGCCTTTGACCCGAGGTCTTTTTATTGTCCAAGATCATTAGAACCAGTTAACGCTCGTTGTGCATTCATGATTTATTTTTTTATGTAATTTTAATAATGAAGATTGACTTATTTACTATTTAACTAGTTAATATCTTAACTCTGTTTGTCATTTCATATTACCCTCCCCTTCATAATTCCCTGAACTCCCTCCGTAAGAGAACATGTGCGGCGGCGATGGTGTAACGGTTAGCGTACTGGACTGTTGTACCCAAGTTGGCGGGTTCAAACCCGATCGAAGCCGTGGATTTTTAAGGGCGAAAAAATCCTTCGTACGCCTTCCTTCGGAGGGGAAGTAAAGCCGGCTGTCCCATGTTCGTAGATTTACTTGCATGTAAAAGATCCTCAAGCCTAAATGACGCCTCTGAGCTAAATTCAAAATCGCCTGTTTCTCGCCCAAGAAATACCTCCGTTCTCTGCTAATTGATGAAAGGAGCGTAGCGAAATTTGCGTGGTCAGACGGAAGAGCAGGCCTGATGGCCCGAGTCTCGCCACGTAAAATAAGGCAAATTCAATTCAACATGTAGCAACATTCAACTGATATCATAATTCCCTCTCAGGGGTGGATCCAGAGGGGAATTTTGGAGAGGAATTTTTTATTCAAAATGTTTTGGTCGAATGTGTCATATTACAGATTATGTAGAATGACGCAGGCTAAACTCAGCTCATTTTACAACAAATGTTTATATGAATATATTTTGCTTGAAAGTTTCGGGACAAGTTAAAATTAATAATTACTGAAAAATTTTTAGAGGTAATTTACCCTCATCCCCCCCCCGTTGATCCGCGCTCGCCCCCTTCCACATGATCCTCTCGATCCAGGTAAGCTACGCAGTGAATATCGAGATCCGTATCGAAGGCAATAACAAGCAATTGCGTGAGAGCGTAGGCTTCCGCGGCCGGAGTCAGTATTTAATTGACTGTCCGGGTGACGCCGCGTCCATGGCGAAGGTGCCAACGTTTCGGTCGTCATTCTGCGAACTTCCTCAGAGCGTAATGGGGCACTGGGAAAATCACCTGAACGGTTTAGACACTAGCGATGTTCACAGACAAACAGACAGACAGACGAGAGCGTACGCTTCCGCGGCCGGAGTCAGTATTTAATTGGCTGTCCGGGTGATGCCGCGTCCATGGCAAAGGTGCCGACGTTTCGGTCGCCATTCTGCGACCTTCCTCAGGATCTAGGTAATGCATTACGCCCTGGACGCGGCGTCACCCGGGCAGCCAATTAAATAAAGCAATAACGTCTCAGTAAAAAATTATCTTATTACACTTTAAACTCTGTGGTTATGTGACTGCCTGATGATATTTTCCACTACGCTATGCGGAAAACTCCCTATTTTTCCGATCGCCCGGCAGGCAGCGCATGCGCCCTGAGGTTCTGCGAATGGGCGTGAACCACCTCTCCGCGGGGGCCCGGCAGCCCGGAGACTTCTCCGTGGAGTCGGTCAGCCTGCACCCGCGCCACGCGCCGCCTCTCAGCTACTTCGACCTGGCGCTGCTGCGCACCGACCGCCCCGTGCTCTTCACGGAGCGCGTGCTGCCCGTGTGCCTGGCCGCGCCAACCACGCACGTCGACGCCAACACCACGCTGCTCGTCGCCGGATGGGGCGCCGTCGATCCCGGCGGTAAGGGATAATAATAATAATAATAATAATAATAATAATAATAATAATAATAATAATAATAATAATAATAAATAGTCGGCTCAATGGTCACGAAGGCAGTAGTTCAGTAGCGGTCTTGGACCAGACGACCGCGGGTTTGATTCCCGCCTCGGGCATGGTTGTGTTGTGTGTGTGTCTGTATTGATACGCTGATTCCTCATACAGAAAAGTAATGTGCACCTACCCCGATTATCAAGTCTGAGCGTCGGATGCAGGTAGCTTGTGGCTCCATGAGTCCACATTCTCGAAACCTTAACAACACCAACAAATAATAATAATAATAATAATAATAATAATAATAATAATAATAATATATAATTGTCACCATCCCGTCATCTTGTTGGATGCAATTACGCTCTGAGAATATACTGCATAGTCATAAAAAAATACAAATTATGTCAATCGGGGCAATCTATTCTTTGCACAAATTTAATAGATGATGCGACCCGAATAGCCGAGATCGCTAAGGCAGTAGTGCCGTGGCGATCTTGTACAGAAGGATCGCAGGGCATGTCCCCGTGTATGATCTGCAATGCAAGTGTTTCTAATGTTTAATGATAACGCGTTATTTCACGGATTTACCCAAACATACTCTCGTAAATTTTTCAGGTTTTGAGCCGTCTGCGGACTTGAAGAAAGCTTTACTTCGCTTTGTGGATTTGGATGAATGCAAGAAGTTTTTTACAACTAGTACGAGTTTACCCAGGGGGTTGGATGCCGACATGATATGCGCGGCTGAACCCAACAGACAAGCCGATACCTGTCAGGTAAGCTAAGTAATATTCTATAATTTGTTCAGAAGAATGTGTTTCCTTCAACCGCAGAATATCCAGACAGTTTTATTTTCTTATCCACAATACCTTTAATAAAATTCAACATTCAAATACGCTTTCATCAGTATGAAGGAATAATTGTATGTGAAAAGTAACACTAATCCTGAATATTAAATTTATAATATATTTATTAATTTATAAGTATCAATTCACATATTTGCATACTTTATATGTATATATACAAATTGTCAGCTCTCAATAAATTTCTCCAATTTGCTTTATAAATAACCTTAGGAATTAAAACAAGCCCTCAAACATTTTTTGGTATTCATTTAGCTTGCAGGGCGTCGAAAAACATTGTGGTATGGGTACTTAAATTTGCACGATATTTCAAAAAGATATTTAAATTGTAGTCACAATAAAACACTACACCTAATTCAAAATTTATTCGCGGTCGAATTCAAAGTAACAATCGGCACTAAGTTGTCTTTGCGAGGACATAACTCGTATGTGCTTCTAATTGCTATTACAAATCATCGCCAAGACATAGTAAAAATGTTTCATTCTGCCGGAATACTGTCAAAGTAATGACAGACCACGTGTTTTCTTCTGTGGGTTCAAAGCATTTTTACATGAGGATATGGAAGTCCTTACCCGTTTCTTTAGGCAAATCCAAAAGCCCTTTCCCAGCGCGTGTGTTAGTGCCCGGAATGGAGTTAACTATCCCGAGATTATAACTGACTCTATATGTGTGTTTAGAGTGACTTAAGAGAGTGCTTAAAGTGACCTGCATTGTCTCTATAGTATTTGATCATGGTGGAAAGAGATGAGTGGGCTCCTCTGATGCACAGATTTTTGCTCATTCTGCACAGCACCAGGTTTGCGTCACGAACAACATGACCACAACACCGGCACTTTATTTGAAAAGCCAGACCAGACGGTGACCACCTTGTTGCATGGAGAGCGAGAAGTGTTACGTGAACATTTTGAAAGTGGCAGAAAGTAACAGTTTTCAACGGTGATCAACTATAACACGACGAAAATGTAATTGAAATAACTGTACTATTTTAAAAAGTTGTTTCAATGGCACGCAACAAGGTAATAATTCAATCGTTTAAAATTTCCGTAACTATTGTGACGCAAACGTGCCTGAAGCTCATTGGCTGAAGTCTGATACGATGCATAAGACCCCACCCATATCTTTCCACCATGGTAGTTGTCGTTAGTAACGACGGGGACTCAGTTTGCGTGTTTCTGTGCTCAGGGCGACTCCGGAGGGCCACTGGCAGTCCGTGGAGCGCAGGGCGACGTGCTGGTGGGCGTGACCAGCTTCGGCGGGAAGCCGTGCGCGGGGTTGAAGCCCGGCGTGTACGCACGCGTGCTACCTGAGCTCCCTTGGATCGAGAGCGTCGTCTGGAAGTAGCAGCCTTCAAGTACACCCGCCTGATCTTACCAAAAGGCTTTCAATAGTTCATCTAATATCTCAAATAGACGCTGTAAAAGAAGCTGTGATTTTGAAAGGAAAAATGTCCACTTTTTCCGCATATGTGTATATTTGTAATTTTTCAAGTTATAGATCACTTTAAAAATGAAACTTTTACGTCTTAAAGTATGTGTTCTATTGACAACTAAAACTTCTAATGATTGAAAATGAGAAACATGTTCAGGACTGATTTATCTTAAATACGTATAGAGCGCACTGAGAAATTTGCGGATTCATTGCACAATATGTTTTGAATAATTTCCCTAAATGCTTTCAAGGCAACTCTGAGGACATCGTATACTTCGAAACCTGGTAGTCGAACTATCGTACCTTTTTAAGAAGGCAACCAAGCATCTTGCTCGTCCTGGCAGTTCTCATTAAGAGCCTGGTGTAACATTCTCCAAGTATAAGCAGCTAAAGTATGATAGAAAACATGTTGGTTACCTCGTGGCACATGGTATACGAGTACTCATACATGCTGGCAAATGGGAATCGTCCAGATTTGCCTTCGCGTAAAATTTATAGCAATATTTTCTTTGAATCAATAGAAAAATGAACCGATGTTCAAAATATTGTAAACTACATCTCACATCAATATGTTTATTTTTACCAAAAGATTTTACATAGCTACAGACTGAAGTGTCAATTGATGAGTAGATGCTGATATTATTAATTTAGTACGAGTATTTTTCATGTTCATATTACACAATATGTTAATTCACCACATTGTATATTTATTGTATTTCTATATAGTTTTATAAGTCTAAAAATAAAGAATTTGTTTTAAAAAAATGTTATATTTATTTTATAAAGATCAGTCCATGGTAAAAAAAACTCTTCTATACCTCACAGATTTTCAAATTTGAATTTGCTGAGCACCTCAAGCAATAAATTAAGTCTGCAATTTTTGCGTAGAACATATATGACCCTGACGCTACCAGTGGATGTAATGAGGTTTTTTTTCTCAAAACTATAGAACAAAAGCTTATTATTATTGACTAACAGTTGTATTCGTCTCCTAGACCACTTTTCCTCTTTTATTTCCCATGAATCTGTTTAACAAATTACCTTGCACATACGTCATATTCAGTTTTTTGTCTATTATCTTCCAAAATATTGAATTGAATTGATGCCATATTTAAAGCGGCGAGACTCGGGCCATCAGGCCCGCTCTTCCGTCTGACCACGCAAACGCTACGCTCCTTTCACGCACTAGCGGAGAAAGGAGGTTTCACTCTGGTGACGAACCAGGCGATTTAAATTTAGTTTAGAATCTCAAATTTAGCTCATTTAGGCTTGAGAATCTTTTGCGTGTAATAAATCCACTAACATGGAACAGACGGCTTTACTTCCCCTCCGAAGGAAGGCGTGCGAAGTATTTTCTCGCTCTTAAAAAAATACACGGCTTCGATCGGGTTTGAACTTGGGTATAACAGTCCGATTTGCTAACCGTTGCACCATCGTTGCCGCAAAAATATTGTTTTCTTATTCACTCTATTTCGAACGTTCTTAGTCTTAATATGTTTTATCCTCTTTATTCTTGCGGTAGATCCCACACTCACATTTCAAATATTTCTAGTCTCAACTCTTCTCTAATTCTAAATGATAGACAAGTGGGATCACTGCACAAGCAGTTTATGCTTTCTCTAATATCTACCACAACGTTCTTTTCTCATTCACACGATTTAGAACGTACCCTGTTTCAATATTTTTTTATCCATTTTAATCTTTCAAACGGTCTCCACTCAAATTTCAAATATTTACAGTCTTTATTCGCCCCTTTTCCTCATTGATAGTACTTCAGTGTTACCAATGTCAAGCAGCTTGTGAAGAAGAACCAGAAGTCTGAATACAGAGATTTTTAAAAATGCAATTCAAAATTTAGACTAGCTAAGAAATTGAAGAGCTTACTTACTAAAGTGAATTATTTCCATGTTCTCTTGTTTTTTAGTTTTACAAATTAATATATTCTTAAGACGCTTCTCCATCATGCTGCCAAATAATGTATTAAAATTGATTTTATCATGTTAAACGGAATAGAAAACCATTCAGTACTATTTTCTCATTTTTGAATTACAAGGACGAATGTGAATACCTCCCCTTTTCCTCTACTAAATGGAGCTACGTCTCTTTTGAAGTCCTGGTCTTGGCTTGACTGCCCGATATGAGCCTTGGCCGACCAGCGTTGACTTAGCCTCTCGGCCATGGGATAAGGAGTCCGATATTCCGGTCTTGATAACCATAGGGTGAGCTTTCTCATCGTCACACAACAATAGACACTGGTACATTTGAATAGAAAGCGCACAGTTATAATTCCTCAGAAAGCCTCAGCCGGGAATCACATCCAGGGTTCTGCTGTGGAAAGCTAGCACACTAACCAATCAGCCACCCGAGAGGGACACTTTATGAATAACTTTTTCAATTACCAATTAATACGTAAATAAATGAAAGGTATACAAATGTGATCGCAAATAATTAATATCAAATTTCGTTTTTGTGTTATTTTAGTTCAAAAACTTATAATAATATTCATTTATTTATTTCTCTTCATTGAGAGAATATCATAGATTTTTCTTTGATCTAGAAAGTGTACTCGTAGTTATCACATTTCATATGGACTATTGAATTGAGATTTAAACTTAATCCAACAATTGAAAAATGTATTTATAATGGAAATACGTTTCGAATATCTTATGTAAATAGTACTATTTTCATGATCCCTTTGTAAAAATATTTACTACTGGAGCAAAAGTCCGCAGAAATACTTTAGAGAACGAAAAGATTCGCCTCTCCATCACGATCCTCAATCCAGTTGAGCATAGACACGAAATAATATGTGCAGATGCATAGGGTTTTGGTCGTTTTGTTATTTGACACAGAACACAGCCCAATTTTTTTGGTCATTGAATCAGTAGAAACAAAAACTAAATCTTATACAAGAAAAGTATCATAAATATATATATATATATATATATATATATATATATATATATATATATCCAAGACGCTTTGTTCATCAGAGCATTCATTAGAGCCCTACAAATTTGTTTTCTTATGGAACAGAACGTCGAAAGAACCATGGAAGAAACATGTTAGAGATTTATTACCGTATGTTGAATAATTTCATTGTTGCAGAAATAAATGCAGAATTGTCAGATTTCTTCTAATAGCGTTAATAATGGCTGGATGTTTCTTGATAGCATTTTATTTTTTCACATATGATTAATCAACATTAGCTGAAGAACTTTTTCCTGTTCGGTTTTTAAATAAAAATGTTATTTATTGTTTTCTGGTGTTATTTAGTATTAATATTACTCATGTTGAAAGAAAAAAGCTTTAAAAATACCCATTAAACAATGGGCGATCCGAACTTAATCTTTATTAACATTGACACGAACGGTGCAGGGGTTAACTTCAGAAAATCGTAACTTAAAATTAGTTTAATGAGGTTTGGAAATAAAATTGAGAGATTATTAAAACTTAAGCTCTTGTTTTGGGCAATGGAAATATCAACTTTTATTTTTCTCTCATTTAAATGTAACATATTTCAGTAGTATCTCTTTGTTCAACACAGGGATTTTGGCTAACAAGTTTCTATAACTTTTAAATACTAGTTACACCCGTACGAACAGTCAGTAGCGTATTACATAAAATGTTATTTCTGCCCTCCAGAGTTTGAATCAGTCGATGTCTACAGGTAGTCAGCGGAAATGGTCAGCGCCTCGACAAAAAAACGGAAGTAACTTTTAGCAGTAGGTGAAGCGTGGATGTTTCAAATAGTAAATGTGAGCATGAAACCATCGGTCAAACTTATTTATCTTATGTTCTCATGCGGATAACTTAATTTATTATCGCTGAGAATTTGGGCCAAAACATAGACGAAAAGCTAAATGAAATGGCAGTAAATTAGTTTGTTCCATGTATAAATGAAAAATTAGAAAAATAATTATTTAAATAAACTAGATTTAAATCACTGCTTTAAATCAAGGGATAATTTTCATTAACATTTTAATTTTTAGCTATTGTATTAGTCATAAAATTTATTTATTTTAATGTCACCAAAACAAATATTTTTGGAATATATGCACTTCTTGTTTGAACATGCCGGAAGTATTGTTCTGAGCATCACCTTAATTTTGTTTATTTTTCTATTAACTATTACCATTAAATTCGTCACAGAGTTCATAATCGAACTATTTTCGAGATGAAGGAAAATATTAACCAGCTTTTTATGCAGTCAGATAAGACAAATTTGTTTCATGATATGTAACCACTTTATTTATCAAGATTCCACTAGAACAAACGTGTAATCCAATCCAAATTGCACCCGAGGCAAATGAAAGATAATTAACATGTACAAATACTTCAGCATAGGTTCTGATGAAACCGCTTATCACATTCTATGTGACTGTACAACATACGATGACTTCCTAATGACTTTTAATTGAAAACATAATTTTTTCAATATTTAACTCTTCACAATACAGTTTCAATGACATTTTTGTTTCTAGATTTTTCCAAAATATTGTCTAAAAAATTCATTTACTTCCACTTCATTTATTATAAGTTACATAATATAAGAATACCATGGTGTTGCAGTTCTATTTTTTAAATACTTTTAATCTTCAACCTGACATGTATCTGTTTCATAAATGTTAAGTTACGCTATTATTAAATCATCACGAAATATTATATAATATATTTTAATTCATGAATATTAGTTCCAAATCTTTGTTTTGTAAAAACGATGATCTTATAAATATAAAGACATAAGACATGCTCCGGCATGAACAATTTTTAATTTCTAAAATAAAAAAATAGCATCGATATGATAAACATTTGGTGCATTTATGCACCAATGGCCACGAGGTACTGGGCAAGTACGTTTAATGAAAATTCTGCCATTCTTTCAAAGGCACCCAATAGCTTATTTGATAGGATTGTTGAACTAAAGAACCAATTTAGAACAAAATTCTACAGTCTTCCTGCTTTCCTTAGCAGTTTCCTTTAGTTTGCTGTGGTTATTGCATGTAAATGACGAAAAATGAAACAAGGCATTTGCCGATATCATGCCATCTTTTGCAAACTGTTCCCACTCTCACCCTAAAGGCTGAGAAAAGGGGCTCGTCCCACGTGATATAGAAATCACTTTTTGTACAGGTTGTTTGATAATATTACACCTACTAAGGTGCAGCGCCAGAGAAGAGGACACACGGACAGACAGTCAGATGGAATTAGATAGATAGATAGATAGATAGATAGATAGATAGATAGATAGATAGATAGATAGATAGATAGATAGGAGAAAGGGTGAAATGGAGAGTGTGGGAGTGAGAGATCAAGAGGGAGAGAAAAGGAAATGCAATAGTAACTGAGCGA